CTTGACCTTCTTCCCAGATCCCTTCCACCTAAGGTCTTCGGTTGTGTCTGCTTTGTCCATTCCCCTCATTCCATTCGCAGCAAATTTGATCCTAAGGCCTTGATGTGTATTTTTCTTATTATTCCTCTACTTTAAAAGGTTATAGGTGCTATGACCCTCACACTCGCAAGCTGTATGTTTCTATGGATGTTACGTTTTCTACGTTCGAGCCATTCATCCTGAGATCATCTCTTCAGGGGGAGGTTTTTATTCTAGAAGAAGAGATTGGTTTCTCGAATTCTATAATTTCTCCTTCTAGTGGTTGTGAGGGAGAGGGGGAGCCATGTAGTGTGGGGGAGGTAATTCCTTGTGTTCAGAGGGCGTCTCGTCAGTTAGATAGATCAAATCTCGAGACCTACTCTCGGCGACAGACAGAACTGGTGCATGATGTGCTGCCATGCTAATCATCTCCATCTCCAATTTCAAGTAATGAGACCTTAGCTGTTAATTCTCATGTCCCTGCTAGTGATGTTCATGAAGTTGATGACTCGAATCTTCCTATTGCTATTAGGAAATGAGTTAGATATTGTACCCAACATCCTATATATCATTTTGTGTCATATGACTCATTATCTCCATCATATCGTGCCTTTGTTTCGTCTTTATCTTTTGCTTCTATTCCACAGGGTTGGAAGGAAGCTCTTAATGATTCTAAGTGGAAAGAAGCTATGGCAGAAGAGATGAGAGCATTGAGTAAGAATGGCACTTGAGAGTTAGTTTCTCTACCAACCAGGAAAAAGCCAGTGGGGTTCAAATGGGTGTTCACTGTTAAGTAGAAAGCTAAAGGGACCATTGAGAGATATAAGGCGAGGCTAGGTACTAAAGGATTCACTCAAACTTATGGCATTGACTACCAAGAGACATTTGCACCAGTGGCCAAGATGAATTCCATTTGTGTTCTTCTTTCCTATGTAGCAACTCTGGGATGGCCGTTACAATAGTTGGATTTCTTCATGGGGATCTAAAAGAGGAAGTGTATATGGATGTTCCTCCAAGTTTTTCTTCTCCAACCACTGACGGAAAGGTTTGCCGATTAAAGAAGGTTGTGTATGGGTTGAAACAATCTCCTAAAGCTTGGTTCAACAAATTCCTTAAGGCGATGCTTAGATTTGGGTATAAAGCAAAGCCATGCAGATCATACTTTGTTCATCAAACAATGTGGGGATAAGATCACAGTACTTATTGTTTATGTGGATGACATTGTGGTGATAGGCAATGATGAAGAAGAAATGTCCAAAGTCAAAACTCAACTTCCCATGGAGTTTGAAATTAAAGATCTCGGACCCTTACGATACTTTCTTGGAATTGAGATTGCTAGATCAGATAGGGGCATCTTTATTTCTCAAAGGAGGTACATCTTGGACTTGCTTGAGGAGGTAGGCATGTTGGGATGTAGGCCTGCTAACTCTCCTATTGAAGCTAATCATAGGCTCAATAGTAGTGACAGAGAACGTGTGGACAAGGGAAGGTATCAAAGGCTTGTAGGAAGACTGATATACCTTTCTCATACCAGGCTAGATATTGCATATGTCGTTGGCTTTGTTAGCCAATACATGCATGATCCTCGGACGGGGCATTTGGATATAGTTCATCGAATCTTAAGGTATCTCAAATCAACGCTTAGAAAATGCATCTTGTTCTCCAATCATGGTCATTTAAGATTAGAGGCCTTCACCGATGCAGATTGGGATGGTATTATTGATGATAGGAGGTCTACCACAAGTTATTGTACATTTTACGAGGAAATTTGGTGACTTGGTGGAGTAAGAAGCAGTCAGTTGTTGGCAGATCAAGTGCAGAAGCAGAGTATCGAGCCATGACACATGGCATTTGTGAGTTGATATGGCTGAAAGTTTTATTGGCTAACCTAGGATTGTTGAGAGGTGGTCCCATGTGACTATACTGTGATAATAAGGCCGCTATTAACATTGCTCATAATCCGGTTTTCAGCATAATAGGACTAAGCACATCATGATTGATCCACATTTTATCAAGGAGAAATTGAATAATGGCATCATTTGTTTGTTTTTTGTCACATCTAAAGATCAGTCAGGTGATGTGTTTACCAAAGGGTTAAGGACTAAAGTGTTTCATCCTATTGTATGCAAGTTAGGCATGAAAGATATCTATACACCAACTTGAGCGAGAGTGTAAAGTTATGTGCTTGAGGGTAATAGTGTCATTGTACTTATTCCCTTATTATTATAAATAAATGTGTTTAGATAGGTAAAAAACCTAATTAGGTTTTGTGTCTTCTCTCCCAATAAATCTCTGGTTCTCTCTTCTCTCTCTCTCAATTCTTGTGTTTCATTTTTAACTAAGGGTTTTATTGTTCACCCATTGGATCTTCATTTCACCAACATCTCAAGTCCCAGTCTTCTTCATTTGGGTACTAGGTAGGGGATTTCTACTCTTTTCATGTCAATCTTTGGTTTCTTGTGTAGATTTCTGAAAATGTGTTCCTATTTCATGCCTATTGTTGTGCTTGATTTACTTTCTAGTAAATATTGAGATGAGCATGGTACATTGATGTTGTTTCTTCATGAAAACCCTTAACGTGACTTCAATTTTAAATGCATCTTGATTGACTTGAAAAGCCCCAAAATTGTAAAGTTTGAAATTTTACAAATTTTATTGTATTAGAATAAGATTGAACATGGGAACTTGTTGGAAATGTTCAAAATTAAGGATTTATACTACTATGAGAATTATGTAAATTGTTAGTTGGCACTCCTTTGGGAGGAATTGTAGTGAGAACTATTTTGTTGGCACTCATATATGGAAGAAGTAAATTGAGAAACCCTAGAACTCCTTTAGGGAGAAAAGACTGCGTTGGTGTTGGAATGTAATGTGGGTTTAATGCTCTAGCCTCCAGATAATAACTTGTAAAGCCGAAAACTCGATGTATGCCAAAAGCAAGGTGCGAGGAATACACAATCCCAAGATGTGTTTATAAATGGGTTGAGCATTTTAAAACTTAATTGGATAGCATCAATCACGTGTGATTCGTTCCCCTTCTACATCTTATTGTCACCTTTTTATGAATTTATTAAACTGTTGATTTTCCAATATATTGTAACTATGAACACTTGCACACAACACCATTGTTATACATGTGGATTGAAGATGTTTTCTACTAAGCCAGTTGGTTTAGGCTTAACCCTTTCTAATGCAGGCAGAGCTTAGACATACTAGAAGTTACACTCTGCCCAATTTTGAAGCTCATAAGTTCCTACCTTGCAATGGGCATTCTATGATTCGGACTAGCTGAATTTTGTAATAAGGCAGTAAGGTTCAATATGGAGAGATAATAGAGACAGAAAAGAAAAAAGGAAGAACACAAAGATTTAACGTGATTCAACCAATATTGGCCTATTTCCACACACAAAGCCCTATGGGCTACATCTTTCATTCACTCAACTTGATACTCTTGTTTACATGATACACAATATATGTATAGTCGGAGATACAATCAAATCCCTTCGGTTAAAGAATTAAAATAAATCAAAGATACAATAAATCATGATAAGTACAAATCACGGGATCTTTATATATTCTAATACCATCCATACCTTCTGATATTTTTGACAATATAATCTTATCTCCAATAGGCCTTAGTTTTATAACGGATATGTAAGAGCTTGTAGTGAACTTATCAAAAGATTGCAATACTTCTAATTTGTCCCAGACTTGAGCATAATATGTAGTACTTAATTCTGACTCTGACAATTGATTATGCATGCTGGTGTGGTATGAATATATGCATGTTGGGGCAGGAAGGCCACATTAGTAAATGAGGCCTTTGACACTTACCTTTAAGTACAACAGCTAAATAATTTCCTCTTTACTTCACACTAACGATGGAGATTTTGTGCAACATTGTAACGATTTTCTAAATCTTCCAGAACTAATTTTTCAAGAATTATCTTAAACTTTTGTATTTTAAGCAAAACAGCTTAACCGACAGGCTCTTCCTTTCTTGGATTTTCCTAAACTCTTTCAAAGTGCACGTGGCATTCAATAAATAAATGATTTTTATTTAAATTTATGTTTTTAAAAGTCGAGCAGTGATAGAATACACATTCATAAAATCCGCCGTCTTCCAAAATACCTATGTTACATGGACTCAAGTCTGAGTATCGGATGCAAGTGTGGGTCCAAGTGTTAGAACATCATAAACCTAAATTTTAGAATATTGAGCTATGTATCCAAAAGTTGGATATGAGTACGGGGATGCGTCACACACACATATATTGCATATTATATAATATTATTAAATAAGACCTCGTAAATTATATAGAAATATACTTGAAATTAAATAGGATTAAGGGAAATATAAATTTTTTATCTCTCATCCATACAAGAGGCTAGAAATGTTTCTTTAATGGCAATATGAGTTTCTGCTTTTTCAAACATGTTTAAATAAAATAAAGGATTCGAGAATCTAAATTGGGTACAAGACATATCACACGCCCTTACCCTCATCATATTCAGTGGATACAAGTACTTTGAATGAAATAGAAGAGTCCATGTAACACAACAAAATACACAACATTAGGAATGGAGAAGTATCACCGATTATGACCAACATTTTGTTGTATTTATTCTCTTTAATTAAGATCTTATCCAATTACCAATATGAAAGAAAAAGATGTCAAAGAAGTCCGTAGCAAGTTCAATCCCTATAAGCGTCACCTATTTATTTGGTTAGAGAAAATTATTTCAAAACTTGTGGAGATGTTCAGAGTGTTCATGATAAACATTCAGGCATGATGCAAACGTGGTGTCTAACTCAAACAAAGGCTCCTCTATACTAAAATGAGCAGAATGTTTTGTTCCCAATCAAAACAAAACAAAAAAAAAAAAAAAAAAAAAAACAGGCATTTACTATCTACAGTAACAACACTAAAGGTGGTGATTACTCAATTTTAGTAAAGATGATTTTGTGAACAAAAACTTACAACAGAGGTGACATTACTGAATACAGCTAACCCACGCATTAGACAGCTCCATATTGTGTGCCAACCTCTTTCAAGCTGCATAAAGGTTGCCAACAAGTAATAGTCTTCATTAACAGGAAAACACTGGATAAGAAAACCTACTGTTCTAAACACACGCCATATCATTCAATGACATTATTCTATTAACAATTGTTTAGATCATGTTGCTTCAAACCTAGCACAAAGGCAAAGTTTATTCAATTAACAATTTTTTGATCATGTTGCCTCAAACAAGCACAAAGGGGTTCCAGTTTTCAAAGGGGTTCCATTTGTCTTTATTTCTAGAGATTGGAAAGCAATTTGTGATGTATAAGAGCTTTTTTGGGTTTTTGGTGTAATGATTGTTGGACTTGTCCTCTTCTCATTCTCTTCTCATTCAATAAAACATTTCATTTTGTTGCTGATCAAAAAATAACAATAATCATAAAATAAAATAATACTACTACATCAATGTAGTAAATTAAAATTATTCTCAAATTAGAAAACATAATCAGAAAATCTTCAAACAGTGTTCTGTGGTTTAAAGTTGTCTCTCAATCATTTCACCTTTATTCTTCAGCACCCAATAAGACCTTTAGGGAATTTTGCATATCGAACAAGGACAAAACCACAACCCACACACTCTAGGTTATTTAACAAACTTATTCCAATTTTAACCATGTCAACAACTCTCATCAGATTAGAATTTGGAATTTCTCATTTTTTTTCTTTGACAAGTCTTGTGAATTTTTTTACCCATAAAATAAAAGAACGCATGCCACTTAAGTTGGCACAACACTGTTGGTTAGGTGGAAGAGGTGGGTAGCCCGTGGTAGGACAGGGGAAGGAATATTAGGGTAGGTTTCCATCTTACATTTATAACTTCTTTTTTTTCTTTTTTTGATCAGCAACAAAAAGAAATTTATCAAGAAAAAAGGGAAAACATACCAAAGAGGACAAGAAGTCCTCTATAATCAAACAAGTATCTATGAGCAAAACTAAAACGAAACAAGAACTATAAATGGCACACAGACACCCAGTCGCTAGTAATCAAAAGAGTGGAACCCTCAAATGGAGGGGATACAGAATATTCCAGAACAACGCCAAAATGCAAACTCTATCCCACATAGAATCCAAGTCCCCAATTTCTCTTCAAAAATCCTTACATTCCTTTCCAACCAAATGACCCAGACGATAGCAAATACCACACAAAGCCACAACACTTTTGCCCTTATCTTGCCTCCAAAACTCAAAAATCAATTAAAAGCATGTGGATACTTGCTGTTAGAGCCACCCATGATGAATTAACCAAAAGGAAGAGTCAATGCCATAACCTCAAAGCCACAGGGAAGTGTAAGAAAAGATGATTCAAACATTCCTCACCCCTCTTACACATGATGCACCATTGACAAAGATAGTGATTGGGCCTGTCCTTTGAAAGGTATAATTGGTCAAAATGCTTCCATGATCCAAAACCATATAAAAATCTTCACCTTAAGATGCCACAAACAATTTCCAATTTTTTGTGAAAAGATGACACACTCGACTTATCAATGATTTTGTGAAAAAATGGTTTACATGCAAACTCACAAGATGAATGAATGAGCCAAACCACTTATCACACACGTTTGGAGACGAAGAGAAGTATTCAATCCGGGACGGCAAGGAAGTCAACTCACAAGTTTCCCGATCATTAAGATTATAAGAAAAAATTCCAAGATATCGGTGCCAAACTAGAACAAGCCAAAGAGAAAATTGAGAAATTATGAGAGCGAGCCACTCTATATACATATGGAAAGGCGACGTCAAATGAAGAATCTCCCACCCAGACATCTTTCCAAAAATGAACTGTTTCCCATCACCCATCCTCAAGGAAAGAAACCTAGACCAAAGTGAAAAGATGAAATACAAGTTTCTAATGAGCACGACTGTTACCCCTATTGACCACTTGAGCATCTCTACCGTTAACTTGAACCCCCATACTTACTCTTAATAACAAAATGCCATAATGAATCACATTCAATGGCAAATCTCCATAACCACTTAGCAAGCAAGGCAATGTTCCTTGCCACAATATTACCAACGGCTGGACACCCTTTCTCCTTAGGAAGTGTGACCATCTCCCAATTAACCAAATGATCTTTTTGCCTTCATACTTCCCTTCCCAAAGAAAATCCCACATCAACTTATCTCCTTTTTTCTCTTTTTTTTTTTTTTTTCTTTTGCATTAGTCAAAACAATGTCATTTAGATCGAAACAATAATCTTAAAAAGAGAAAAAGTAGACAAGAATGCTACTCAACACAGGTTGTAACCAAAGTATATCCCTCCTTTGGAAAGCAAAGCTCTCCTCCTACCCTCCAACCTTTTCTAAAACTCACACCCAGAAAGATTCGTTTCTAGGGTTGCCCTCTACAGAAGCCCCAAATACTTAAAAGGAAGACTCACAAAAATGCTCACCATTTGCTCAACTTTACTATGTTGCGTGTTATTGCCCATGACACTGCTTTTGTTCAGATTAACCTTAAGACCCAACAGAAACTTGAAAATTCCCAACAAAGATAAAAGGCAAACCACCTTATTCTTCTCCGCCGAAGAGAAGAATATAGTATCATCTCCATATTGAAGATGAAACACACAAACCCTATCCCTCACGACCTCTGTTATTAGAATCTTACGATTCACGATTTGATTCGTATCTTTGCAATTTTTGCAAAATCGATACGAATCTATACGTGAATCTATTTTGAAAGTAAATCTCTAATGAATTGCACGAATCACAATCGATTCACAATTCGATTCACTCTTTACGATTCAAAATTTTTGAAATTATAATGTCCGACATATTTTTGACTCTTTTTTTCTCCATCATTTTAGTAAAAATGACATAATATAACTTCTAATAGCGTTTAATATCAAAATAACCAACACATATACATGATTTGTTGTTATTTTAGTGATCATAGAGTTTTTAATAGGATCCAATTAGATTCAGTCAAACTCAACATATTTTTAACTTTTCTTCTCATTTTTTTTCCTTTTAAAAATCATAATATATCTTCTAAAGAAATTCAAGATTAAAGTTACACTATGAATTATCTATTGCTATTTTGTTAAATTGAATATAATTGAATATTACATGTGTGAGGTCAACTATACTTTTTAAAATGTTTTAGACTTTAAAATAAAAGATTCTAAATAATTCTTCCTTATGATTTGCTCACTGTTACTTAGAAAAGTATGTATGCTTATTGTTCAAATATCAATATTGTTGTTAGTTATTGTTACTTTAGAAATTGATAGTTTGTTTATTTGGTTATTATCTTTATTGAGAAAGATTAATAAGAAATATCTTAAAATGAAAAAATGTAAGATGGTGATCTTACATAGGAACCTTTGTTAACTGCTTACATATTAAACTATGTGATTATCATTCAAAATAACATTTTTATTGATTGAAGTCCGAATATTTCATATTTATAAGATATATTTAACATCTAAATGTGTAGATACGGTTTTAAATAATTTAGAAAAAGTTACCGAATCTTGAAGATTCGATTCACGATTCGATTTGATTCGCGATTCGGTATGAGGCCATTTCGATTCACGATACGAATTCCGATTTGACAACTATGCTCCCGACTATAAAACCATCAACTAAGAATACCGCCCTAGTATTATTTTTATGTCATTACACAGCTTGCAGGAAGAAAATGCATTATCATTTGACACATGCAAAACAGAGATGCATTTTGGGCTAAACAACACTGACTTTTGGAATATCATCAAACAGTGTTTTAAATTTCATTTTTCACCGACAAAAGGAACTTTAAATGACCATGGAAAATCACAAAGCATTTGTGGCTAAATAACACAACCGAGGAAATGTGTGTGGCTCAAACATTTTAAGGCACATTTAAGCCATTCAAAATTCATAAAAACAAAATAATACAATGTTACTGACTACTTTGGGCACCATATGGAACCAATAACTACTTCTCCACTACATAACACCAACGCCGAGCAATATTAATCATGACAATATTTTCTTTACTCTGATACAGTTGTTGAGGCCTCCCTTCAATGAAGGTCAAGTTAAACAAGGCAAACCTAAAACAATAAGATTGAGCTTAATCAAATGCGCCATCGAATTTAGAATGGAGTTTTGAAAATATTCACCCATTTTACATATTGTGAAATGACGCATCAAAGAAACACAATTTTAGGATGCTATTTATCTACAAACTTTAACAGATAGCAGGACTCAAACCCAGCATTCTGAATTTTACATACATATGATCACCAAGGCATTAGAAAATTGCCTCATGGTCAAATAAGATTTCAGTTATATATCATTATTCATTCTAGTGAAGGATGAAACCTGCTAACATACAAACCCATTTATGGATACATTTAATTTAAAAAGAATAAATAAAACCAGATACCTCATTTGAGGAGAAAGATGAACCTGGTGAGGTCTCCACTCTTGAAACTGAAAGCAGAAGCACTGAAGAGAGTCGTTGCAGACTCCTTCAAAGAAGGTAGATACATATACATAAGAGGTAGAAAGGAAGAAGTGGAAGAAGCATCAATATCAAGTTTTAAAGCAGAAACATGGATAGAATGAAGTGGAAATAGAATATTGTATCTAAATATAAAAAACAAGCATAGAATCATCAGCCATTATTTTGCAAAAGCTCTGGCATACGAGCAATTAGCTAAAATGATCAGTAGTAGTATGCAGATCAAGAGCAGCATACCGCAGAATCCACAGCAAACAATCATAAGTGTGGCCCATATTTGCGTCATTTATTATTCTGCAATAAAATCCCAATCCATCAATTCCACAATTTGAGAAATTCAAACATTATATAAAACTTTTGCCTACATGGAAACATTTTAGTTTTATCATCCTGTTGTTTCAGAGTATCTCGGCACAAGAGCATCCAAGAAGACTCTATTAAGCAGTAAATATGTCAAGAGTATAAGTACATGGCAGTCTCAACTTGAGTGAACAAACTAGTTGATGAATACATTCATGCAACTAGATGATTAATTGAATCACTACTGTATTCTTTCCTCAAACAAATTGGCCACATTACAGTAACTATGATGTAACTTAAATCGAATGAACTGCAACGAGGAACTTAGGTGCTGTTAAAATCCACCTACTCTCCACCTACTTCACCCACTTAAACCTACTCCACTAAACCTAACCCACTACACCACTACCACCTCACCTACTCCACTAAACCTAACCCACTACACCACTACCACCTCCACTTCACCTACTCCTTACCTACTACACACTCACCCTCTTCTATATATAGGAATCATGAATCATTGTAATAAATATCTATACAACAACATATATCAATCAATAATACAATTCTCTATTTCTTTTTTATACATTGAATTTTTACAGGTGCCTATAAGCACAAGGTTTCCATATTTTGATGCATGAAAACAGCAGACAAAATCAAAAAATAAAAATAAAAAATTCAAGAAACAAGAAACAAGAAAGTAAAAGGAAGAGGACAAATATATCTCTTCTAATTGATTGTCCTATTTGGAGTAAATTTTCAAGCAGGTACACCAGAAAAGAAAATTGCATATCAAAAGAAACAATAAGCCACCAAGAAGACAAGGATTCTATTAAGCCTCTCCAACATGCCAATGCAAACTCACCTTTCAAAGTTTGCACAAATGCCTTCAAACCAGTAGATTAAGAGATGCTTACTGATGCGGCTACAGTAGTTATGTATGAGGCAGCAAAAGACAGCGTTCCTGTCAAACAATTCTCATTTAATTAATTCAAAATATGTAGTAAGGAAAATTAATGAAAAGTTAGATAGAAAACTAAAACAATCCACATACACTTATGGACACTTCAATATCATATCACAAGGCATATTTCCAAATACTTCTTCATCAGTGGCTACTACAAATATGTCATTGAGCACATGTGACAATATAATGCGACTAAAAAAACTGACAACACAATAATGACATATTGCACCCTCAAAACCAAAAGTCATTCAAAAATCTCACAGAAATTACCAATATTGACATGGTAATATAGGATTTCAGCTTACAAGGTTCACAAGTAATTACACAAAGAATAATGAAAATTATATCCAGGCACTGATCAATAATAATAGAGATTTGTATCCAATTCAACCATGGACAGCTTTCAAATGAGCAGAGTGGTTAGTGGGAAAAACCAAACACATCTATGAAGATCTCACAGTGCAAATATTTCATAAACATATAATGTTGTATATGGTTATAAAGGTATCTCATGAGTAGCAGATTAATCTGCTACGTGGATCTTATTCTGCCATTTGATTATTCAGTCTGGTTTAATAGATTCCCAATCATAGTTGCAAATACCTTACAATTAAAGATCATGTAAGATTCTACCCCCTTCAATACAAATTACTAGGAGTAGCATGGCTACTGACAGATAAAGAATTATCCCATGGCATCATTGTACTCACATCAATGATGATAAGGGAGGTAATGATAAAATGCATCTAACCTTATTGAACTCGGTGAGAAAATTGAATCATGATCAATAGGGTGATATTTGAATCCTCCCACTAGAAACCCCTGTATGGAAATACTTTTGCAGATTTTCCAATCACTTAGCTATGAAGGCTAGAAACATAAAAATAGACACAAAATAAGCAGGACAGTTATTTCAATCAGAGATCTCACATCCCCAGACTTATATCGCCTTTCTCACCCCGCTAGTCTCTCCACAAAAATCCAGCCTTAGTTAAATGTCACTTCACAAAAAAGTACCCCTTAGCTTTGACATAAGCAAGATATTTTACTGAAGAGAATGTTGACAAAAATACCAAAAATAAAAACCCCAAATTTGTCAAAATTAAAAATAATACGTCTCACATATGTGATAGCGATGCACCAAACTACAACACAGCCAAACCAATGGTAAAAGACGTGGGGCAGTCATTATTTGCCCCAATTTTTTGTTTCCTGGGAGAACCTTTGTGTGATAGACACAGCTGATGAAATACTGGTTTTAAGTACCTTTGTTTCAATAGTGCATCCAGCAAGACATTCAAATCCAATAAGCAAGAGTGCATTGCAAATTAAATGCATTAAATTTTCTTTAAAAATCTCATTATCAATATAACACACCCATTGATGGTCAAAGCAGCTAAAACCCCAACAAAGATACTAACACATAACTAGATCTTTTAATTGGATATAACTGGGCAGAAAGAACAAAAATTTAATACAAAAATCCAGTGATTGAAGGATTTGAAGATGGAAAAATTTCCCCAACAGATTATAATAATGTCATTAAACCAGACATACTAATCGATTCATCACATATCAATCAACATGTATATAGATAAATGCTCCATACTGGTAGATGTTCAGACCAACTGTAAATATAAACCAATATGTCATAGAGAACAGGTATAGCATCCCATGCAAGGACATGAGAATAGATTGAATCCTTTGGCTCAAAACATACCACAGCCATTTTCCTTTCATGAGTCCCTCTTTTAGATAGGCAGCAGCATGTTCCCTCCTGGCTCGTTTTTCAGTCGGTGCTTTTGATTTATTGACGCATGCCTGGGAAAGTCAAAATCACATTAATAAATCTCCTCTCTCTGCCCTCAGCCAAAGGAATAAATTTTAACTGCTATCAGAAGTCAAAATTTCAGTTTCACAATATTTAACAAGAGAAAACTTGGGAATGTATATTTCATATCAAAAATTGTGAAATTACACCCTTAAAGGTAGCACAACTTCTGTCATAACCACATGACAATTAATCAAGAGAAGTTATAGAAAAGGTAAATTTTCATTAAAGATTTATCTAGTTAAGAATCCTTCAAAATTGAAAACCATAAGCCTTGAACTTATGTGTCAAACTGAAATCCATACAATGACCAAATAACAAATTAAAGCACAGAGCATCAACTCTAAAACTGAAATGCAGGTGAGAAATTTCTGCATAACTACCCGATAAAAGACAAGGGCTGCGAGCTCCACCAAACCACACTGTGAGCTAGTCAAATTTCCACACTTATCATCCTTGGTTGTGTCACTCCTGAAAACAGAGCATATTCACATGAACAACTACAGAACTTCAAGAACTTCAAAAGGACTGTATAATGAAACCAAAAACTCACCAGGGAATACTGGAACTGCAAATATTATTTTGATCTAGATCCTTGCCGACTACATCCAGAAGTTGTTCTACCAAAGTACTCCCATCAGCTGCACCCCTAGTCAAATTTAATTGTAACCTAGCATATAAAATAAGTGCATCCTGCAACAGAAACACATACACAAACATAAATCACTTCAAATCTCTACTAATTAACATAGAAAACTAATCACAACACATTAAGAAACCTTTAGACCACGGTCATGGGTTGTTATCCAACAACGAAACAAAAATTGCCTCACAGCATCATGAATTTCCAAGGACTGACAGCCCAAATTTGGACCATCCTTCAACAAGTATGTATTCAAACATTCGATTAGCTTACGTGAAATCTTTCCCTCATCCCTGAAAATGTAACAGCAGAAAAAGGGATTGCATGTTATACCATAACTGAAACTTCCAGATGAAAACCCAGCAATACATGACACAAACAGGCAGAAAAGCGTAAGGAAAAACAAAAGAGGACACAATCACAATACCTTACAAAAGGCAAAATCCTAACAAACCCCCTAACAATGTCTTCACGAAGATTAACTGGAAAGTCTCCAGGAGGATTTTCAAGAAGTGAATGGAGTGTCAAGATGCAACGAAACACGTCTTCTTTGGGATTAGATTGAATACTATTACTGCCACTCAAGCTTGTTTGCACCTTTTCTATGTATAAAAGCACCAAACCTTGCCAAAAGAAGTTAGAATAATATAAGAAAACCGATAAATGACAATACTCTAAACATCCTAATGTGTATGAGGTACAAGGCAAAAGGGACACTCACTGCAATAGACCCGCTTCCTCATGTGAAATCGATAATCTTTCACTTCCAAAAGAAGCCGGAGGATAATCCCATACTCGGTTTGAAAGCTGGGGACATCGTTCAAGACATCCCAGATATGATTGAAAAGCAGTTTCACCATGGATAACAGAAGCAAATTCTTGCCTAACAATAATGATAATATACATAATTTACATCAAATGATGCTCTTTTAACCATTTTCATTGAAAGGAATAAAATTCAAGCACACAGTTCAACTAATCAGATCAATGGAGCATATATCTTTTTAGCCAACTCTGTTTGGTTAGGAAACTTGGAAAAAAAATGAAATTACAACTTCAAATATTATCTTTCTACAGTCTTGGTCTCTGAAAAGTTAAAAAATCTGAATCAAGTAAGCCAAATAGTTCTGTTAGGCTGAATGGGGTGGTGATTTTTCTTTTCTAGGGCTCCAACCGGTGACAAATTTACCACTCCGACTTATTAACTTTGTTCAATATTTCCTCAAAAATTAAACTAAGGAAGCCTGGAATTCTTAACTTTTACAATTTGAATTAAATATCAGGGCTTAACCTTATTTTGTTGTTGAATACGAGTCACTCAGCTCAATTCAACCTTTATCGTCCTAGGCTCCTAGGTTTCAGGTCTGCTACTTGAGCTTTATTTAATCAGTTTACTCTATCTAGGAACATAATTATTATTGAACCATTCTCCATTATCTGCGGGAACAAATACAAATTATTGTCCTATAAGCTACCACATGCAATTAAGCCATAGTTGGCACCAACTCCGAAAGATGAAGTGGTGCCCTCTGAGGTTGTTCAGCCAATCATTCATAGTGACACCACTGAATTAATCAGTAAGGAGAGATTTTCAAGACACTTCTAAGCTATGATACATGGACTCTTCAAAATAAATCAAATATGTATGTCGGACACCCAACACTTGGATAAGGGTATGGGATATATGTTCGATGTTTTTCAATGGACACGTCTTATACAATTGTATTTAACAGTATCATTACAAGTATTTATTATAATTGCTACAAAATAAGTTAAATTTTGACACTTCTAAGCTATGATACATGGACTCTTCAATACAAATCAAATACCCATGTCAAACACCCAACACTTGGATAAGGGTGTGGAATATAGGTTCGATATTTTTCAGTGGACACTTATACAATTGTATTTAACAATATCATTACATATATTTATTATAATTGCTATAAAATAAGTAAATTTTTGACAATATAATTTCCATATAATACCATTTTATCTTACATAATAGATTAAAAAATATAAAAATATGACTCCATTTTTGCCAAGTCCACATATGCTTAAATTTAAGGTTTGATAAATCTAACCTCTAGGTACACATCAGCACCTAACACCCGTACCAAGGTAAGGTCCATGTGTGACAACCCCGACCAACGTATCATTTTTATATGTTATTTTATTGGGCATGACTTGCATAATTATGTGCTTAATTGACATTTATCTGTTTGTTTGTGAGTTATCTGTTTGAATGTCAAATGTAGAATTCCATATTGAAAGCCCAAACGGATTCAAAAAGCAAAATTGATTAATTCAATAGGCTAGTTGGAATATTTAGAACCATATGGTAAGTTTAACTAAAATTTGATTCGAATCAAAATAATTAGAATAAATTAACAGCAATGATTGGTACCCCACTAAATTTGGACCACTAAATCAGCCCTAATGAGCTGGAAAATCAAAAAAACAAAAAAACACAAGAGCAAAACATCCCATCATGTGGGACCCATACCAACATTAAAGCTATTAGTGCTCTTGGATTAGAGGTCTTAGACATTTCTCATAAATTATTTATAATTGTTTAGACTTAAGTTAAGTCCAATTGTTTAGTCTTAACTCCATTTGATTAGTGAAGCCTTAATCAACATATATATATGTACTAATTGAGCTTAAGACTCCATTCTTCAACAAACTTTGAGCTGAAATTAGTGTTAGAGAGAGAGCTCAACTCATTGTAGAGAGAGAGAAAAGAAATTCAAGGGAGTTCAAGAGAGATTGAAGAGATTAACTTAACCTAAGGCCAAATTCAAGCTCTAGCTAAGATCCTTACCCTAAATTCATGAGAATAATTCATGCTGGAAGATGAATCCACCAAGTTGTAGGACCATTTACATGTTTTTGAAAGAAATGAGCATGAATCATCATGAATGGAGTGAGTTTGAGTGAATTGTGTACATGCATGCATAATTCTTTATCTTTGGACTTGATTTTCTACAAATTCATACATGCATGGGACTTACATGAGTTATTTCTTAAGGTTCTTCATGATTTTGCACTCAACATCTCATATAAACATGTTTTGTAAAGAAAAGAGTTGAGTTTGTTACAAGCATGTCCAGAACGTGGTATTTTGAATTTATTTTGAAGAATTGAAAGAGGATTTGAGATCATGGTTTCATACTTTCCAACAATTCATGTTTTATAAAGTTTTTCTAAGCTTTTGAGACCAACTATGCAAGCTTTGAACTTGAAAGGAATGTTTTTGAACTTCAAACACAAATCTAGAAAACCCAAAATTCGCCAAGTTCGCTCGAGCGAAGGATCCTTGACTCAAGCGAACATTGCAAGCATCCAATATTTTTACAGACATTTGGCCGTTGGCTCAAGCGACCAAGTGTGCGCTCGAGCGAACTCACTTTTGTTCAGCACTTGGCTCGAGCGCACATTTCGACCATCCAATACTTTTGCAAACAGGTCACACCGCTCAAGCGACCAAGTTTGCGCTCGAGCGAAGACCCTGTTTTCAGCAAATTTTGACTGGCACTTATAAGTGCATATTTGCATCCTTAGGCCCCTTTTGGCGCTCTTTTGCATCATTTAAACATCCTTAATCATGGAACAAACTAGAAACCCACGTAAGAGAATCAAATTAAGATACGTTACTTGTTTCAGATGTGTGTTCAGTGTGTATTTGTATTATGTGCTTTGTGTAGGTGGTCAACTGAGGTCTACCGTCAGTACCAACCCACTTTTAGTAGTATATTTGTAAGGATATGTTGTTAAAATGTATTTTGGTTTACCGCCGAAGTATTATTTTGAAATGTTATTTCATTATGAATGAATGATTGTCTCTTTAGAAATGTAATTGTGGCATCCTTAGTGTTGCCCTTGCCTGGGGTACCAATACCATGCCCTTTGTTATGTGGCTCTCGCCCGGAGGTAACAATATGGCCCTTCGTTATATATGCACAGAGATCTCTAATGTTGACCCAAGTGGTCCTCTCGCTTGACCTATATGATCCCTTCATTATACCCATGTGGTCCCTTTGTTATGCCTTCGGGCCCTTCGTCTCACTATTAGATTTACCACATATGAATATGATTTGTGAACTTTGATACGACAAGTACTCACTTATGATTTGCTTTGAACTCATGTGATATGATTTTGTACAATGACAGACATCATTCATTTAACCTCTTTATACTTTAGCTCACCTCCTTCCCCTATATATATATATATATATAGGTGAGCAAATGGAACGTTAAGCACAGAGCAAACTCGAGAGTCCACACTTTTGTCAGCCGTATTGGAGTGCCTCCGTGATGGGGCCATCTTGGACTCATTGGCGCCAAGTTTTGTCAACCTTGTGGATCAAGATGATTGTTTTGTTTTCTTTGTTTAGTTCTTTTGTTTTGGAGCTTTCTATGTATGGATATGTTGTACAAGTGTTATGATGCTATGATGTACTTTTGTATCCGCATCTATGAAGAAGTTGAAGTTTTAATTTTATACGGCACTTCATGTATGCACTACTCGATGGACATATTTGTATTTTATTATTGCTTCCGCAATGCCCCATTATTATTATTAATTATCAGATTTGTCTTTGAGGCCGGAGGTAATCTGCGATTACTGGCCGGTCACAGCCTAAACCTCTAGGGGCGGGTTAGGGTCGTGACACCATGCAACATAGCTTCTAAACAATTTTGCCCAAGGCAATAAGAAAAGTCATGGCAGCTTAGGATTTAATGGAAGATATAGGATTTGAGGGGTAGAATGGTGAAAGGGATTGAAATTCATCCTTAAAAGTTGATGATTTAAGGCTACTACATCAATGAAATATTTACCAGTGAATAAATTAACTTAATAACGATAAGCTTCAAGCAACAACCTGAATACTTGGCATCCTCTGTTCGTTGTACAACAATGCGCAAAGTTTTAGCAAATATTAACTTTGGCAATCGCCGCTTGCTCGAAGATAACTCTAACGACACACACTGAGTTAGCAGTTTAACAAGAAAAGGCCAAGTCTCGGCTGCACAGAAAAAAGGATTCAATTACCAAATTTCCCATTCAACAAATTGTACATGTAATGGCATAGCACTAATAAATAAACAAAATCATCTCAATGCATGCATATATACATATGTATCAATATCAAATCTTACAATGAGGTACATCATTCGGTTTAAGCATTGCTGTTTTCTGTCCAATATATCTACAAAAGCCAATTGAACTTTCGCCTTCTAACCATGTGTTCAACAATTTAAGTCCTTCCTGAATTCACCAATCAAAACCATGATTCAACAAAATATATATACACGCAGAAACATTAACCTACATGAAGGTTCTTCCTGATTCCCAATAAAATGTAGGAAACACAATGAAATTAAAATACTATCCAACCAAGCCAGAGACAGTTAAGCTTTCAATTGAGTTCCTTTTCTTTTTTCTTTCTTTTTTCTAAATCAGAAAAAAGCACAAAACAAGCGTGATCGGGTAATTTACTTGTTTTTTTTGTTTTCCTACATTTTCTCGGAAAACAAACAGAGTGGAAAGAAAACGAAGTGAATATTAATATTACTTCTCGAGTCTTAGCTTTATCGGATGATAGCTTTGAGACGATCTCTTGAACATCCCTTGAAGTGACCATGGCGAGTTTGGAAACCTTACGAATTCTCAACAGTTGGAGTGTGGATTTTCAAGAGAAGTTTGAATCTGATATGTGTGAGGAGAATCGGAGAAGAACGATAGGGTTTACTGTGCATCGTTTCATTGGTTACGGTCGCTTTGTGGAGCAATAAATGGCGGGAAAACAAAGACAAGGGTTTTACACGGAGATCTCTTCTTCTCCTCCCCTCCCCTCCCCTCCCCTCTGCTCTGGTCTGCGAAGAAGGAAGAAGAAAGAAAAAAAAAATCAGAAAACCCCCAAAACGACATCGTTTTGGGGGGCTGCCGGGAACGGCCGCCGAGAAGGGCGGTCGACGATCCTGATTCCTTTCCTTAACCCCTTACTTGTAGGTTATTAGGCTCATTTTTTTTTGTTCTATTTTAATGATTCTAATAGTTTATATCTTTAAATTTATTATGTATATTATATTTATAAAAAATCCAGTTAATCGGAGATATTTGATCAATTTAATTTTTTACAGATATGATATACATAATAAATTTTAAAATATGAACGGTTTGAATCATCAAAAGTAGACCCAATAACTTACCAAGTAAAGAACCAAAGAAAGGATCTAAGGAGAGGATCCTTGCTGGTAACACCAATTATGGGCCCAACAACTAGCAAAAGTCACACACAAAAAATAAATAAATAAATAAATAAGAAGAGTAAAATTTAAAAGGAAATTCTATTTGCACACCTCACATACTCTTTCACACCATCATTTATAATTTTATCCTTTAATCAAATATCCAAATTACCCTCGTCTCTATTTCATAACTCTTATCCAAAAATCCTATCATATTGACAACCACCACCATCGACCAACCATCACCAATCAGTCCACCACCACTAGTCGATAGCACTACAAAGCCACCACCATTACAAAGTCGTCTTCCTCATCGCCACTCCCTCTAATCCTCTTTATTATCCTCTTCCTCCTCCTCCTCCTCCTCCTCCTTTTTCTTCTTATTCTTTTTATTCTATTCTGTCGTCGCTACCATCGCCGCCCTTCTCTACAACTCACGGTATAGGGTTTTAGAAGGCGGTAATGGGGAGATCACAATGGGAACAGAGGAGGGGATGGTTGAAGCTAGACAGGCGGCTAATCGCGATTTATAAGGAATGCATAAGGTTCGGAGTTGCAGAGGGTGGGATGAGTGGAGAGTTCGAAGTTGCCAAGGACAGGATGAGTGGACGGTTCGGAGTAACGAAGGATATTAGTGATGGGTAAGGGATTCAGAATAGGAAGACTTGTTGGTGATGGCAATAAAGACAGAGAAGATAGACAAAAGGAGAAAGGGTTGTGCTGGGCTAGCTGAAGGAGGAGTGGCACTGGAGATGGTGGTCACTGAAAATGGCAATCCTAACCAGTGGCTACAATAGTGGTTAATGGGCTAGCATTAGGTTTGGGATGTTGAAGATAAGGGTATTTTGGGGTTGTGCGAGATTATAAGTTATGAATTAAGAAAAATAAAAAGTCAAAATGTAACGCCCCGAAAATATTAACCATAAAACCATCTCATGATATTAATTTAAATAACAACATGTACCAAAATGATTACCTTCCATTCATATGATTCCATTGTACAAAAGGTAACACATGCAATTATACATTCTTAAGTCCTAACCCTGAATCTATAGCATATGCCACAAGTTAAAGATATGAAATAAAAGTTAAATAGATATATAAATGCCCTAACAGCTACTACTTTCCGAGACGATGCTTGGTTACAACAAAAGTAAGTTTAAACTCAATACAAATAAAGCCCTAGGTTTGTACAAAATAATTACAATAATAACAAAAGAAGCTCTTGGCTTAAAGTTCTCCAAAGCTACTGCCTCGGCGGAGATATATCATCAGCACTTAAAAATGGTTTTTCACATAGGGTGAGCCAAAGCCTAGCAGAGATACTCTAACACGTGTATAAATCTTAACCAAGCTATAAAGTGAATGCATATGCATTACTCGTGCCAAAACATTTTATATCTTTTTCCAAAATCATGCAATGCCAGGTTTATATCACAATTCATAAAATCGTTTCATTTACAATAAAAAATAAGACAGTGGATACACTCTGGGAATCTTTATGTATGTGTCTGCAAGTAGGCTATACAAGCACTATCAATTACCATTTTTACCATTACTAATCGAAAGGCTCGACACCTATCCGCGCGGGTTTTTGAACTTTCACCAAGGACACATAGGTTAACAACAATACCATAACCACACCGCTTATCAAAATTCACTAAGGTATTCAACCATTTTTCTTAAACAATATACATTTCAATGTGTTAGGTATGCAACAATACTCAAGGCAAATGGATAAGAATTGAGTTTCAATTCCTCTAATTCTCATGCACTTTCTATAACAATCATAGCTATCCTCTACCGATAGCCCAAAACAGATATCTCTAAGTAGATAGATAATTTCAACAAAGATATACTTTCCAAATTTGTAAGATGGGAGTGATAATGCATATCCAATTCCACCATCATCATCATCATTATTCCAATTTCATAATATCCAACATCATTTCTATTTTCTCTTTACAAAATCAAATATTCACATTTTAGGGCAAAACCCCAATTTCTTTATAATTCAATTCCAAGGATAAAAATCTACCATTTTATCATAACTCAACCACTTTTATAACCTCACAATCATTTCCAAGAAACCATCTTGAAAACCTCTCTTTTGATTTCGAAAACCAAAACCCTAAATTTATCCAAAATTTCCAAGTCACAATCTTGTTTAGAAAAGCAATTAACTAAGTTAAAAACCATACAAACTGTAAAGAAATCCATACCTCAAAGCTAGAAGACATGAGAGAGAGAGAGAGAGAGAGAGAGAGAGAGAAGGGGGAAACTTTGATGAAATCGAAAATCAACTTTGCTATAATCAAAAGGAAGCTCTAGGAAAGCTCTACCCTTTTTTTCAAAGGACAATTGTGTAGAAATCAACGGATCAAAGTATATTTGAGGTTTTAGAGATGGTTTCTAGAGAGAGAAAAATAGATATAGGTTTTGGAATGTTTAAAGAGAGAGAGAGAGGTGAGAAAATGACTCAAAAAGTGTTTTTCTCGAACTGATATATGCGCATACTGCTTGAACGCAAGAATGGTCGCTCGAGCGACCAGACACAAATGAAAACACCACTCAAGCGCAAGAATGATCACTCAACCGCACAATGTTGTAATAATCCCAACCTGTGATTAGCTTATTGTTCTTAATTAAGATTGCCTAATAAGTAATTAAAAGGAAATTCTAGATTAATTGCATGTGTATTGTGTTATTTGTGTTTATATCTGTTTGAATTTTTGTTTTGATATTCAAATTGAAGGCCTTATCAGCATTTGAGGATAAAATTGACTAAATCTTGGTGTTATTGAGAATTTTTAGAATTTTATGATAGGTTTAATTGAAATTCGATTCAGAACCAATTAATTAGAATAAATGGGTTAGATTTAATCACACTTAATCAAGTTCATTTAATAAGCTTGTACAAGGCTCCTATACATTCTAAAGCTCATACACGTGAGAGAGAGAGAGAGAGAGGGAGAAGAAAATTGAAATCAAAACTAGAAAATAGAGATTAGCTAGGAAATTTGGAGGAATTAGCTTGGAGGCTCTAAGAATTGGTCATCTATAGTCCAATTGAACACCTAAGATAAGAATTCAAGCCTTTAATTTTGTAATTGAATTGGTTAAGGCCTCGTTTGGCAAGTAGCTATTTTAGCCAAAAAGCCAAAAAGTCACTAAAAAAAACAATAAACCTACAATTTTCACCCTACAAACCTATATACAGTAGCTTCACGTGATCTATGCTAGATGCAGTGTAAAAATACCCTTTTGTCCCTCATTGATGCGTTTTTATTTCGTTTTTAACCCTGCTTTATGTCAAACATTGATGGGAATATTATCAGAGCCATCAAAGTACTAGCCAGAGGTCTTCAGCTACATCAAACACGCAAGATGAAGAGGCCCCTTCGTTCAAGGCAAGAAAATAGTAGAAACTTTGATCTGAAGAGGAAGATGACGCAAGCGGCGACGAGAGTCCATAAAGCCCAACGGAAAACCAATCATTTCTCCGACGATTGCCCCAACTGCAGATAAGTTCTTCTTCTCTCTCTGTCTCTCTTCAGCCACTCTTGTTTCTATTTCTGTATATAAGCATTAGTTGTATGCTCTGGTATTTAATATATGTATGAAATCTCTCTCTCTCTCTCTCTCTCTGACCACTTTCCTATTTGAATTTGTCTTCTAAAATTAGACTTTTTTGTTTTGGTAATTAAAAAGAAAGTCCCCTACATACAAGATATGGGGGTTTTAGGGCTTCCTTTGAACTACCGAGAGCACTTAGGCAATAACCGGGTTGTTTGGTAGTGGGGGGTGTGGATTTGATAACCATGAGTCGTATGCTCTTCTTTTTTTTTATGTATGAACACTCTCTCTCTATCTCTATGTCTCACCACTTTGCAATTTCAATTTGTCTTATAAATTCAAACATTCGTTAGGTAATTAAAACGAAAGTCCCCTAAAGTAGAAGAGATTGGGGTGTTAGGGCTTCCTTTTCTGGTCTTCTTTGTGTTTCGATTGTGTTTTTGGGACTTGACTGTATAGTGTTGTCGCACTATACCTTCTTCGCCAGATTGGAAACAGATTTTGTTTTTTTACAAAACACAAATGTAAGACTAAAGATTTATAATTGGGAACAGATTTTGGTTCTATTTGGATTTTTGGAAACATATTTTTATTCATAATTGGAAACAGATTTTTGTTCTATTTGGTTTTTTGTAACCTGTTATGTCTAACCCATCGTCTATTTTTTTCATTTTTGAAAGATTTTCAACCTACTAATAACTTTATAATTGGAAACAGATTTTTGGAAATGGATTTTTGATCTATTTGGTTTTTTGGAAGTAGATTTTTGGAAACAGATTCAATATTCATAATTGGAAACAGATTCAATATTTATAATTGGAAACAGATTGTTGGAAACAGATTCAATATTCATAATTGGAAACAGATTTTTGGAAACAGATTCAATATTCATAAATAGAAATAGATTTTTGGAATGTTTGGCTTTTTTTAACCTGCTATCTCTAACCCATCCTCTATGTTTTTCATTTCCGAAAGATTTTCAGCCTACTATTCTGTCAAGATTTTCAAAAAATTTTGAAAGATTTGTTTATATCAATAGACGATCACCTGAAAAATAGTTTATATTGTGTTTGATTTTTTTTTTTTTCTGTTTCATCACCTAAAATACTAGTTTATCAGCTCTAAATGTTTTTTCATACAACAGAGGATAACCTCGAAGGTTTTTTGTTCTGTTTCATGTTTTTCATTCTGTCAATATTTTTTACAAATAGAAGATCACCTGTAAAATACTAATCATTATATAAATTTTATTACATTACAAATAACTTTTAATATGTATGATTTGCACACACACAAAAAAAAAAAATTGGCATCATTTGTTAGAGTGAAATTTTATTTTGTAGGGTGCAGCTTGTTGGGTCATTTTTTGGGTTGTAGGGAGTTCCTATCCTGTTTCACAAGGGGAACAGATGTAGCACAGTATTGTAAAGAGTAGTTGCATGTGTAATGGTCTCTGGTTGGTATCCAAAAGTAAAAAAAAAAATTTGTTTCCCAGGTTCATAACCGTTTCTAAGGAGTAACAAGGGAACAAAACTGTAATATATATCGCATTGGAAAAATCACCAATTATGGAAAAAATATTGAAAACATAAACGCCAAAAGAAATATAGTATTTGTCTAATGCATACTGGTATTCATAAGAATTTCGTCTTTATCATGTTCATGTTTGTACCAGAACTTGGTGTTTATTATGTTATTATTTGTTTGATTTGCTGTGTGTGATGTCCAAATAAAAAATCTACTGCATACAAATTGTTTGAAAAAAATCAGTATGAAATTACAAAATTTGTGGACATGAAAAATGACGTCCAATGACAAACTTGTTAACACAACAAACTTATCCCATAGCATAAGTGTCACACCTATTGAACTGTTATTGTTGTGCTTCTTATGTCACGAAACAAGTCATCAAAGACTATATGGCCTCGTTTATGTCGACTGCCACATCAACACAACCAGGCCCTATGTGTGCTTGTGGGTACGGGCACTATGTGGTCAAGATTTCTCGATTTGCAAAAAATCTAGGTCGTACGTACTACCAATGCCCTCGTTGAGTAGTGAGTACAAGCACTTTCATTTTTTTGGTGTAATTCCCTTGTCAAACCGTCACTAATACTTTTTTTAACCTCAGCCATGTGTCAATTGGATTGGGTAGTGTGACGAATATGGGCAACAAACGCCTCCTGAGAATGACAGAGACACTGTGCGTCGTTTTAAGGCTCGTTTGATTGACATTGAGCAGACTCAGTGTGCACTTAAAGTTGTGACTTGTTTTTTGTCTATCATCGTCATTATTTTGTTGTTCCGTATGTAATATATGTATCTGTGTTTACATGGTTACCCTACTACTCTATCTATACTATTTGGTGGCCCAAATAATAGTTTTATGTTATCAGTTCAGAACATGTATTACTTATCATATGTGTTCCCTGTGTTCAATGTTCTTTGCGAAGTTGTGTAAAAAAGTTATATATAAACAAAAGTGTGCATGGCAATATCGTTGCAAAACTTAACATTTATATAACTTGCGAGCATGAAGATCTTGGGTTTCTCTTGTGATTTTAACTACGTGACACGTAATACACACATAATTATATATGGTGAACATCTTTGATATAAATAATGACCATACGTAATACGCAAATTATATTGTAATTATTATAATCGCATGGCGTCAAATCGATCTGGCTCTTGTACCCCTTCTGTCAAAGGAAAGGGCCCAAAATCTAATCACAAAGCTAATTGGGACTGGGAGAACACATGTATCTTCTTGAAACTTGTTCTTAAGGAAATTGAAATAGGTAACGGGCCGCACATGTCAATCACTTAGTGGATTGATGCATGAGATTAAACAACTAAAAAACAAGCACAATCAACTGAAGTCGAAGTGGTGTGCATGATTGAAGCTGATGGATTGCCGGAAAGGCCCCACTGGAATTGGGTTCGACCAAGAGAATGGGTTGTTCAATGCATCAGATGAATGGTGGGCTAGAATGGAGAAGGTAACGATTTCAACTTATGTAACCATTTTTTTTGTTATGCGTCGGACGATTGATTATGGAATTTAATTTCAAATATGCTCGTCTCATTATATTTCTGTACTTATTTTTCTGTACAAGAACATTGCTATCTTCTACCTGGTACCCAAAAATTTTATGTATTAAAATTATGAATATTGAATTTAACCACTGAATGTTAGGTTGTGATGCGATTTATGAATATTGACTATTACATTAACGATATGATTAAAAAATTTAGTTAATTAGAGTACACCAGCACAACAAACTACAAGGTTGATTGTAAATGTTGTTGACATAATAAACCAATACATAAATAAATACGTAAAACATTAATGTATATGATTAGAAACTCATGTCAAAATATAAACTGACCAATTAAATTACATGGTACACTTGCATATGATTAGAAACCTTTAAAATTAGAGTAGGTTAAATATTACGGAATGTTTGACAAGATGACGATTATTTTTTTAAATAGGAAGTTCTACCCCACATACATAACATTTCTTGGGTGACTATACAAACTAAAGTGATAGTGATGGTGCAAATCATCACAAATGTAATCCTTACAAATGCTCAAACTAATTAAAAGTATTAAACTTTATAACCAAACCAAATTAAGCTTTGTGAATTACCTAAAATTCAAATATATATAGATTAACATGTAGCTAGTGCAACTAGTCCTTGTATTAACATCTAGCTAGTACAATTTCTATATTAACATCTACCTGGTACAACTAGAAGAAATTCAAATATTATGGTAGAAAAATTACCAACTTATCTAAAAAATGACCACTACTATTAACTGTCATGAATAAAACAATTATGTACATTCCAGTTATTCACTATCACTTTTATGGAATGGGTATAATTCATCTATGATTGAATAGAAAAGATATACAACAAAATGAAATGGAACTAATATTATGAACTGGTACATATGGAATGGTTCCGTTTTTATATTATTTGTTTACTTTAAAATGAGATTTTGGCGTGTATAATTTTTTCTGCTACTGTTCATTCATTTTGTACAAAGTTCATATATAGATGTCAACATTTAACTAATTTGCTATTCTCATTCTGTCATGTTATAGGTTGATTCCGTATGTTACAAGTTTAGAATGAAGCCATTGGATCATGAAGAGTTGATGCATCACGTATTCACTGGGCTACAACAACGAGTAAAAATGCTTCGACGCTTGGCGAGATGCGAAACCAATTAGAGGTGGAAGGGGAGTCCGCCGTGCTGAATTTTCTATCGGCAACAACGGATTGGGAGCATCAGAAACAGCTGACTTGATGAAATCCGCAACCATAAATGCATCAAGTAGTGGCAGCAAAAAGAGGCACTCATCAAGCACATCGATGTAGAAAAAGCGAATGACCGGGGCAGAAGCATTGGCAACAAGCATAGATGATTTAGTTAATTCGGTTAAGACCCAAAGCAGGAAACTCACTGTAAACCATGTTGTCGGCAACCATAGTGTCACTATGGCCCAAGCAGTTGGACGTCTTTATGAAATTTAGGGACTAGACCAAGCTAATCCATTGCTCTATTTTGGAATTTTGCTTATGGAGGTGCCCAATAATAGGGAGATAGTGATGAGTATTCCTTCAGACGAAGGCATTATCGGTTGGCTCCAAGTGAAGCAACAGAACAAAGAGAGCATTGCAACTGTTCCAACTCTTGCGAGCATATTGTGCAATGAAGGACTTCGCTTTTAAATATGTTTTTTTCTATTTCCCAAAGACCTGTTTTTTTAACTATGCTTTGTTTGGACCTGTTTTTAGTTGCAGTTTGTTTAAGGAGAATTGCTTGAGTTGGTTATATATCTACAAGATTTACCTATTTTTTTAATTTAAGTAGGCAGGTTATGGCTATTCATTGCTTGAGTTTGGTTATGGCTAATTTTGTAATTTAATATTTTGACATGTTTAATTTTTTTTTAATTGAGGTTGTTATTTGCAAAACCCATTACGAACATTGTAGCATTTGTGTCCTTCAAAGCTTTTAGGAAAGTGTAATCGAATCCTTTATTTTTCTTCTAGAAATCTTTGGTGTTGTTATCGGTTGGTTTTGGAGAAGTATAATCCAATTTAAACTTGTTGGGTTTGGTTATTCGCATTTATTCTTGTCAAAAGTTCCTTGGAGACTTAGAAATTCTATTCTAGGTCGTCACCAGCCTTCCAAAGGGTCGACCCTTACCTGGTTGTGAAGTTTTTGGAAGTGTTGCTGGAAAATAGGGTAGACACCAGTCTGGGGAGGGTCGACCCTCTTATGTCTGTGTGTTAGTTGCTAGAAAATAGGGTCGACCCCCTCCTGTCTAAAGGTTGACCCCCTTGCATGCTGTCAAACATAAGTTTCTTCATAGGGTCGACCCCTGCAGACTTTTTTTTCCATATTTCAGTCTGATTTTGGGCCTACTTTTTGGGGATTTTGACTTGATCTTTTGGGTTGACTTTGGGACTTCATTTTACTTTGACCTAGAACTATAAAGAGGTCCCTTACTTAACCTTTTCTTTACTTTTTCTTCTCTTTTTTCCCTCTCCAAGCCATGAGTCACTCTCTCCTTCTCCAAAATCACTTGTTGCTCAAAGATCTTTAGATCTACTCACTTGGAAGCATCTTCTTGCCTTGCTCCTTTAAGATTAAGTGTAGAGCTTATCAGGAGTTTCGTTTTGATCCAAGTAGAAGTTGGTTTCGACAATTTTGGAGTTTCAACCTTGTTTTGCTCATCTTCTTTTCTAAGCTTGAGGTAGGGATTTTCTTTGAGTTATATATATGTTTTTCCAATATCTAGATGATTTTCGTAATAATCCTTTGATTAGTTTTGAAAATTGATTGTTGATTTAAGAAGATGAGTGATTTTGAAAGTGGGTTTACTTTATTTTCCTGCTAAAAATAGAAATTGAGGGTTTTTGAACTATGTTGATGAAAGAAAGATGTTTTTGGTGAGATCTTCTCAAATATTTGAAGATGAATGGTTTTTGGGGAGAAAACCTAGAAATTGGAGATTTTTAAGAAACTTGTTGAAAATCTTTAGAATATGTTGTTATATTTATTTTTTGTGCCGAAATAAATGATGTTTGAAAATTGTTTATTTATTACATATAAATGATGGTTTTCCATGGAACAAGAGAATTGTTAAAGTCTTGGAAATTGTTGTTTAAATGTGTTGATATAGTCTTAAAATGACTAAGTTGTTGAAAATGTTTGAAACGTGGGAATTATGTTATCCCTTAGATGAATTGAAATAAAAGTATTTATTCATCTTGTGAAATTGCATTGGCATATCAATTCATTTGATAATGAAGAGCTTTAAAATTTGATTTGAAAACTTTGCATTTAGAAACGAATGTTGAGAAACTAGTTTTCATAAAATGGTTTTGGGGTAAATACGGTTGTAAGTCTTCAAAGGCAGTGTAGATTATAGGTGTCGAGCCTTCCAGTTAATACTGGTAAAAATGATAGATTAGAGGTGTCGAGCCTTCCAGTTAGTACCAGTAAAAATGACAAATTGGTAGAACTTATACAGTCTACTTGCAGACACCAACCTAGGGATTTACGGAGTTGTATTTACTGCCCCTTGAATAAAATTTGATAAATGTTGAGTAGTTGAAATTGCATGACATCTTTGAGCGTGATGGTTTTCAAAAGATGAAGGTGTGTTTTACTTTCAAAAAGGCATGGAATGGCATAAGCATTCCATCTCACGAGACTTGTATAAAATGTATATACTTTGTTAAGAATTTCTTACTGAGCTTTATGCTCACCCTATGAGATTTTTTGTGCAGGAAAAAATGTGGTGTTTTCACCTAACTGAAGGCGTGGAAGTGTGTGTAGAGAGCATAATGTGCTTATTTGCTGTGACTCTGATTGTAAGCCAAGGGCTTTGTATGTGTAGATTTGAATAATCGTTTTGTGTAACCAGGCTCAAGCCTTGGTGTAGACACCCCATTTTTGACTGACCTTAAGACTCAGATGTCATCGATTGAGCGCTCCGTGATGGTGCATGTTGTGCTCGTTCTAAGGTTTCAGAGTTTCAGCTGAGAGCCTTACCCCCGGACCTCAGGACCCTTTTATGCTTTGCCTCGGTTTGCGAACCAGGTCTTGTTTTCTCTTCCTGAAGGGAGAGAGAGGTCTCGTAGACCATCTCTCAGTGGCCGTAGGCTATTTTTCGTGGTCGTAGGCCACTTTTTTCGTTTGGAGACTAGTTTCCGGTTTTCAGAGCCGTCGACCGTGCGCGTCGATTCGGGACCGCTTAACTTCCTCCGTTTGGCACGATTTTTGGTACACACATTGCTTCCTCTCTCTAGAGGGACACTGTGGCCCGAGAGACCACCTTTGTGGTCACACGCCACTTTCAATGCTTAACCGCTTGTTTTCGGGGCACCCGGCTGCGCGTTTTGAGTTCCGAACCCTCGTTTTGCATCCGTCTTGGTTCATTTTTGGCATGAACCTTGTTTTCATTGTTTGGGAGGTGGTACAAGGGTGGGAGACCATCTTTTTCCCTTGGAGATCATTTTTCTCCCGCCAGCCGATTTTCTTGTCAGGAAACTGGTCTCCTTGGTCTTTGAGCCACATTTACTAGTCTCCCACCATACCACTAGCTTGCATTTAATGTGGAGACCATCAAATGGGGCTGCCGACCACCTTTCATTGAGTTGAACCTTTTGAACTGGTCGGCCGACCAGGGTAAGTGGTCGGCCAACCACCTGAACTGGTTGGCCTGCCTCCCCCAGTTTTGTTTCTGTGAGTTGTTGCCAGCTGTTCCAGCTGGAAGACACAGACTGAATCCTCCATACACGTGTATGGAGGATCTTCAACCTTGGTTTTTAGCTTCTTTGAGAAGCTTTGGTCCCTTTTGGCTATAAAGGAGGGCCTCCCCCTCCTTTGTGAGGGTTGAGAAGTTTGTTGAAGGCATACAATACATCTCCCTCTATATCTCTCTATTTTGGCTCAAAAAGTGTATTGTTCTTACACCTTTGCACACCACCTCATAGCCTAACCTTTCCACCATTGCTTGGAGCTTCTTGGAGGCCATTTTCAGAGGTTAAGGAGTTGGGTTTTGTGTCCAGAAGTTGCTGTCTTGCTGAGCTTCAAGGGTAACACACTTTTTCCCTCTTTTAAGCTTTATTTTGATCCATCTCTTAGCCTTATTTTAATGCATATTTGAACTTTGTTGTCAACTGAAAAAAGTCTTGTTTTGAGGTCCTTTTGATGTTTGTTTAAGGCTCTTTTGGTGTTGAGGGTCTTCTACCCTCTTGCATGCCTCATTTTGCCTTGTTTTGAGCCATGCCCTAAGGCCTTTGTGTTGACCTTTGCTTGGCCTTTTAACCACTGAAATCCAGTGGATTTTTAGTGGTTAACATGTATTTTTGAGAGCCAAAATTAGAGAGGGGTGACCCTCTCCCTCCTTGTCTTGTTTACTAGCATTTTTAGCCTTACAAAGGAGCCTTCATTTGCACACCTCCAAGCCTTGTTTCAGGCCCTTTTCAGTGACTTTTAGGGCTTGTCTAGGCTCTTTCCAGAGTTGGTTTTGTCACCTTGGGTGTGTCTCTTGCATGTGTAGAATAACCCCTCTTATAGCCTATCAAAGGAGCATGACATTCTTGCATGCATTGATCATGTTTCAGTGGGTTTTTAGGCTTTATTTGGCATGTCATGCCTCGGTCTTTTGCTGGTTTAGTGGCCTCTTGAACGCTTCACATGCTTGTAGTGTAAACCATGCTCACTAGCTTACATTGCATATGGTTTTGGCCCTTGATTCTAGCACATTTTGGCCATACTCTAAACTGATTTTGTTCATATTTTGGGCTACCTCAGCTCTGTTTTTAGGCCTCTTGGTCGAATGATGCTTGCCATGCATACTTATAATGTAATATCCTTGCCTAGCCTTGAGTTTTGGAGCCCCTTGCATGCTTAACTTGAGTTGTTTCCATGTATTGGCATCATTGAGCATGTTATTTCAGAGCGTATAAGGTTTCCATATTCCCATGTCTTCCACTCTTTAAATGCGTTCGAGAGTTGTGCTTGTATACCTCATTTATGGGCCATTGCACGAGCTTTATTTTTGTGCATTTCAAGCCATCATCTTAGTCCATTTTGCCACTATTTTGGGCCAGCATAAGGACTATTTGGAGTTAGTTTGGTCATTTGAGCATCACTTTGCATACCTCTAGTGTAATGTACTTCACTAGTTTCGGTATTTGAGCCTCCCAATATGCATTGTGTGAGTTGCTTGCGTGATTCGAGACCATGTTGCATGTTATTTCAGAGCTAGAACTTGTGTCATTGTATATCATATTTCATCTTTTTAATACTTTTGTAGAGTTGTATCTCGTATCTTAGGCTTTGATCCCTTGCATTGTGCATGCTTGTGTGTGTGTCATTGCCTTGTTTTCATCATGTTTGGCCACTGATTTGGGTGCGGCTGAGGTCCATCCATCTGGGTTTAAATCCATCTTGCATTGTGTATGCCATATAATTCATGTTATCGCATGTTCGATCATTGCATTGCGTATGCCTCGTTTATAACATTGCGTATATTTGTGCATTGTGTATGCATGCCATATAATCCACATGCATTGAGTATGCCCTTGATTAGTCCATAGCATTGTGTATGCTAGTTGCATGCTTGCATGTCATCCTTTGCATGTTTTCATCACTTAGTCGCATTACATTTAGGGTTGCATACTAGAGTTGCATTTGTACATGCCATGCCATTCTACTTGTTGCATTGTGTTTGAAATAGGAGTTAGTCCAAACACGGGAAACGAGGAACGTTTCATACTCCAAGTGATGAAACGTGCCTCAATTCCCGGTCGCTGACACTCTTGACCATCCATGATGGAGTT